ATTTTAAGACAAGGAAACGAAGTCTAACGATAAAATAAATAAAAGATAGGAAAACCAAACAGTGACTTTATGTGAATTGACAAGAATAATGTGTTTGCGTGTAATAAGAAAACAGTTATTGAAGAAAAACAAATGCGAGGAGATTGGTCCGAAGCACGAGGCAAAGTACGGAAACACTCGAAGTAACCGCGAAGAGGGATACATCTACGGCGATCAGCTGATCGACAACTCGAATTCTCAAGAGGAGACAACAGCGTGATCGGTTGGTTGGTCTGAAGGAAAAACTCGTGCGTGTCTCTATCTCACCTAACGTATAGTTGCGTGCGCGTTGGCATTCGATGCGTGTTCAGTTAGGACTTCTACACGTTTTATACGTAAGTTAATAGTTAAACTAATCCGCCGACAACGGCATGCATCTATCTTTTTCAACAAAAAATACAAACAATTGACACAATTTCAAGAATTATTTTCCTTTTTGGAAAATAATAATAATAAGTGTTTAGATATATTAATTGTTTTTCCATTTTTTTTCTCGCTGTTATAATTGTGTGTGTAAGTGCGTGTCTCTCTCTCTCTCTCTCTCTTTCTCTCTCTCTATCGTACTCTTTCTCTCTTTCTTTCTCTTCTCCCCTCCCCTCCCCTCCTTTCGCCTCCTCATTCTGGTTTCTTTTTCTTTCTCTCTTTCTCCGTTGGGACTGCGATTCTGTTACAGTTTCCTACGCAAGAAGGGAGGAGTAAAGGAGATAAGGAAGAAAAGAAAGTTGATAGAGGGGTGATATTTTGGTAAGAAGGATAACGAAGATAAATCGTCACTGTATAGATGGAAGAAAGAGAAGAAAGGTAAAGAAGAAGGACGGTGGTGTTATCCCTTTTTGGTGTACGTGTTGTCGACGTCGTCGTCGTCGTCGTCGTGCCGATAACCACATAGAAGAAATGGCTCGTCCTTCCAAATCTAGTCCTCTTTCCTACATTTTCGCACGACAAATCGATGACAAAATCGACCACTGTAAAAGACTCGTCAATTCGAGATTTAGTGAATCAGAAAATTTATTTAGAAAAGATCTTCAATCTCATTACGGTTGTGTTAACGCCATCGAATTTTCACGTCAGGGTGATCTTTTGGTATCTGGTAAGTAAAATTTCACTTTGGACTTTACATATTTTTCTATATATATACGTATATATATATATATATATTTTTAATCATTGCGTCAATATATTTCGTCGAATTTAAATGTCGAAGGTCGACGAACAATCGAAATATTTGGAAATTTCAATCAAACAAAAGTATTATATTTTTATAAAAACATTTGATATATTTCGTAACTCAGTCGTAATTGTTAGATTTGAAATTCATTCGATAATTTCTTGTGCCATACGTATTTTAAGTTGTTTGTAATTTGTCTTTAATAGACGTGTAGGATAATTTATTTTAAATGAATAAATTTATATTACAGGTGGAGACGACAGAAGAGTTTTATTATGGAAGGTAGAACAAGCGATACAAGGTATTGGAAAACCTACTGTTATGAAAGCTCAACATGTTAGTAATATATTTTGTCTCGGATATGACAACAGTAAAACTAAGATATTTTCTGCGGGAAACGATGATCAAGTTATCGTTCATGATTTACAAACGTAAGTAGTTTCAAGATTCTTGAAGTTTTTTCATTAGAATTTGATTAACCTAATTGTTATTAATTATTTGACTGTTTTATTACATTGGTATACGATAAAATATGTACAAATCAAAATTTAACTTTAATATTATAGTTGCGATGTCCTCAATTTCTTCCTACATGAAAAACCTGTATACGGTTTATCTATACATCCTCATAACGATAATGTTTTTGCAAGTGCTTGCGATGATGGAAGAATTTTAATTTACGATATACGAGTATCAGGTGCTATGGAAACTTTTTGTCTAGCACAATATAAGACACCATTTCATTCTGTTATGTTCAATCCAGTCGAACCCAGAATGATAGCCACTGCCAATGCTAAAGAAGGAGTTAGCATGTGGGATATAAGAAGACCACTGAGGTATTAAATCTAAATTTGATAAGAAATATAGATGATATCTAATGTTAAACAAATATAATTTGAATATTAAAATGTTAATGCAGGCCCATGTTACGTTATGGAAATGAGAGTCCACCACAAAGTTGCATGAATGCAAGATTTAATTTAGCAGGGAATAGATTGTTAGCATTGAGAAGAAGGCTACCACCAGTTTTATATGCCGTTGATTCTTCTTCCTACCTATGTCAATTTGATCATCCAGGGTATTACAATAGTTGTACGATGAAAACTTGTTGCTTTGCTGGTGATAATGAAGAATATGTTCTCTCAGGTATATATATCTATATATACACACAATATAATATTCATTTGTAAAATTATAAAATATCAAAATATATATTTTGATATTAATTTGATCATTTTAGGTTCAGACGACTTCAATCTTTATATGTGGAAGATTCCATCCGAAAGTGTAAAGTGGGTTGATTCCGCTCATATGGTTTTACGTGGTCACAGATCGATTGTTAATCAGGTTCGCTACAATCAATCGAGTTGCGTACTCGCATCATCCGGAGTTGAGAAAATTATTAAAATCTGGAGCCCATTTTCTTTGGGAGGCGAATGTTTAGGTGGCCTAAAGGTATTATTTAAAGGTACAATAATTATTTGTTATGGTTATAAATAACGGATTTATTAATCGAATTGATTTCTTTTAGCGTGACGCTGGAAAACAAGAAAGACAACGTCGAGTATTTACGCACGATGAATATATTGGCTTAGTATTACGTAGCGGCCAATTTATGACTCATGATTATAGTCATCAATCAACCAGGGAGGATCCAAGAATGATGGCATTTTTTGATTCCTTAATACAACGTGAAATTGAAGGATGGAGTTCGGAAGACATGCCAACTGCATCGCAAACTCCTAGCGATTCGGAAAATAATCCTACGACTGGACGTACCTATAGTGCAACAGATTCAGATGGTATATCAAAGATTTTTTTTGTTCATATTCATTTAAAGCTTTTGCATTAGAAAATATAAAACATTTATTATTACACATTTGTCATGTCCTTTTTGTTTTTTTCTTAATTTTAAATGTTTTCTTTTGTTTGTTTTTTTATACAGATTCTATCGCGTCAGACCGTCACATAATGTTAAGTGTTCTAGGATCGGCAGTAAGTTCTCGTAGTTCGTACGGGGGTGGTGTTGCTCCTGAACGGCCGCTAGAATCACCTAATAGAATTACGCAACTCATAGCAAATCGTAGAGAAAAGCTTAGGAGACTCGCCGGACTGGATTGTGCTACGGCATTAAATAATTCATCTAATACAGTTCCTGAACCATCTGCTTCAGGCTATGTTAGTGAAGGGGACAATTCGCAAATAAAGTGTAGATATAAGTCGAAATCAAAATTAAAAGGTGTCAAAGTAAAACACGGTAGGATATCTAGCAGAAGGAGCAGAGTTAGAAGAAAGTGTACTGTGTTAAAAATTCATAGTGACTCTGATAGTGATGAACAACAACAACCTGTTGATGCGACACAACCTAGTACCAGTTCAGGAGTTATTTCTAGGAGATCACGATATAATACTACCAATGCAATAGAAAATGATTCTAAACTTCTTTCAAGTTATAGCAGCAGTAGTTCAGAGGAAAACGATCATTCTGGAAAACAGAAACATTTGAAGACCGATTCAGATTCTTCCATAAAAGCTCGCAGAAAGAAACATAGAAAATGTAAAAATAACATTAAACGTGATTCTAATAAAAATAAACGCAAACAATTTCAACTTGATAATGATGGAGGTGGGGATAGTATTAAAAAAGAGTATGTAAATGGTACTAGTACAACAAGAAATAATCAAGAGGACGAAATCTCCACACCGGTTAAGAAATTGTGTAAAGTTCCTTCGACTCCCGATAGTGGTATTACATCTGGAGTATCTACCATTGAAAAAAATAATCATGAAATACAAAAAGGGCATAATGGTGCTGAGAGCTCGGATCACGAACAGAACTTGAAAACTTTGGAGTGTTTCAGAAAAAAAGTAGACGTAGCAAAAAGAAGCTACCGCAATCGATCCACGCCTTTAACCCAACCGATTTCTACTACAACAGATTCTTCCGATTAATGTCCTCTTACCTCTAAGCTATTAATCCCTTTCCCTTTGTACATAATAAATCTGTGATTCCTTGAAGTATATTTTTATAATACTGAGTTTGATCGTACGTAAGAACTGTCGGTTTTTCTATTATGTCAATTTAGATTTTATCAATACTATTATATATTACTTTTTACGAATCTCTCTCCTCCTGCGTTTTATCATACTTTCTTGATGCAACAAAAAGACTGTTATGATATATCATTCAAATTTCCTATTATATCTATACATTTAATACTCTTCATATTTGAATTTGTTACAACTTTATTATTACAATGAAATTTAAAATGAAATGAAATGAAATGAAATAATACTTAGTGTTGCATTTTATTTTGATATCAGTAGTCCTATATACAATAAAACCGACAGTGTCTAATCGGGCATGAACAATTTTTTCTTTTTCATTGCAAAGTAGAAACGTTTATAGAAAATCGATTTTCAAATTCCATTTAATCTAAACTATCGGAACATCACCACCAAGAATTGTAGTTAAATCAATACTGCATTAGCTAAAATATTATGATCTAGCTAATGTATACTGTTAATATGGTTTGTAAGTGTGATGAAAATTTATAAAATAACAAATTGATACATGCATATATATATATACATACATGTATATATATATATATATATACGTACGTACGTACATACATACATACATTTCTTTTTATGTGTTGGAACTTTAAAAAATGATTATAAATACATCATAATTTAATCTTGCATTTATACATCCTTATTAACTAATTACAAGTAAATAAAAATCATTACTTCAACGTACGTGCATTAATTTATTATTTACATATGTCGTATTATTAAAAGTACTTTTATTTATATATTTCTTGTTGTAATTGGTTGACATCTATTTGATATAATTATGACTCATTTAGTAAGTGATTGTGGTTTCCTGGAACACATTCTTTCCTTCTAGGTGTATAATTTATAATGAAGCAGCTTATAACAGTCCGCAGTTCACTATCCAACTACTTATGAATAGATATTTATTCAGACCATCTTTATTTAAAATTGATTTCATTAAAAATAATTTCAAATGTTGCTACTTTGTGGTTTTTTGTTGAAAATCTTTCTAACTAATACGTTAGCTTATAATTTGGATATTACCAATGCTAATGTATTTGTTATTCCACAAAAATTACAAGATAGACAACGAAATAGTTATTTTGGATATTCTACTACTTTGTATAATAATGGTCAAAATATTTCCGGAGTACTTATCGGTGCACCAAGAGCAAATAGCAGTTATCTTCAATCTGTATTAGAACCAGGAACCGTTTATATGTGTTTGCTTAATAATGTGTGTAAAGAATGGGTCGTTGACAAATCTAAAAATACAATTAATACGAATAGAAATAATTCATGGACCGGGGCAATTGTTATGACAGAGAATAATGGAATTCATTCTAAAGTTCTGGTTAGTTATCAAATTTATTTGATTGTGAATATTTTCTTTCAAATAATTCATTTCTCTTTGATAGGTTTGTGCTCCACGATGGTTAAAAAAACATACATATTGGTATATAAATGGTATATGTTATTGGACCACTGCCGATAGCTTAAAATCATTTGAAAAAGAATCGAAGAAAATAACCAATGTCTATCCAATTAATGAGAAGAGTAGTCAAATTGGTTTTTCGGCAGACATAAGCTCTGATGAATCAGGATGGAATGTTATTTTGGGTGACCCAGGTATAAATTATGGGGAAGGTGCTTCAGTATATTTTACACAATCAACTTCTAGTTCTAAACTAACTATTACTTCAAGTAATAAATTTACACAGAGGTATAATAATTACTTAGGTACAGTATAATATTTACAAGTATTGAATTAATATATTAAATTGTAATTAATTATAATATATGAATAAAATAAATATCATATTTCAGGATATTCAACAACTTTCGGATTTTATTTTAGCAAAAAAGAACGATTGTTTGCTTCAGGTTCGCCGAGAGGTAATAATATGAAAGGATATGTCGTAGTATATTCTTTTTCTAAAGGTTCCAGAAATAGTATGACTATTAGTAATATCCTGAACGGTTATCAATTTGGAGAATATTTTGGATCTACTTTGGCATCGTGTGATCTAAATAATGATGGTAGAGATGATTTAATTGTCGGTGCACCTTTTTGGACTAGAGATATTGATGAGGGTCGAGTATACATCTTTAATGCATTGAAAAATGTACATTTATGATTTATAGTTATTTTTTGTATGTTCTTATTATTCGGATTTATTATCTAATACCTTTGTTTATTTTTTTTTTTTTTTTTTTTTTACCAAATAAATGTAGAACAATTTTATGAAAGGATTAGAAATTGAAGGTGATGTAAGTGGAGGAAGATTTGGCTCTTCTATAACATGCTTAGGAGATATTGATTATGATGGATACAATGATATAATAATTGGAGCACCATATGAGGGAAATAGCGGTGCAATATATTTATACAACAGTGATAAAGATGGAAATTTGAAATGTAGTCAAAAAATAATTGGTTCAGAATTGTCATCAAACGTTCGTGGATTTGGTATATCAATATCAAAACCTTTGGATATAAATGGCGATAAATATCTTGATATTGCAGTAGGAGCTTATTTGTCTGAACAAGTTTTTCTCTTAAAATTTATACCTGTTGTTACAATAACAACAAATCTTGAATTTCCTCATAAAAAATCATTGTCTAGAGATTCTGAATCTTTTTTAATTAACATTTGTACTTTTTATCATGGTTTACACGCTCCTATAGAATTAAGTAAGTTTTCTAGATTTATATTATCAGAATATATGGCATAAATAATATAATATGAAAATATATATTTTTTTACAGATATTACTCATTATTTGGAAATAGATCTGTTATATAAAAGAGCATATTTGAAAGATGAAAAGACATATTGTACTTATAATTTATCAACTACATTAGAAATATCCAAACGTCGATGTGATCCGTTAACAATTCATCTTAAAGTAATGAACAATTTCTTATTCAATATTTGAATGATATATTTGAATAAATGAAATAACATATTGTGTTCATGATTCTAGCGTAATATTCAAAATGTGATCAATCCGATTACGTTATCTGTGCTAGTAGATATAAATAATAGCACGCAAGAAGTTAATAAGTCAAGTAACATTGTTCATAGAACACCAGCACTACTAAACAAATTAAATTCAAAAACTAAAGATATTATTCAGTTACCATTTATATTAGAATGTGGTGATGATAATATTTGTAACTCAGACTTACGAATATCTCTTCAAACTAATTTAGAGTTTAATAATACATACATTATTGGATCAGCATCAGATCTTAAACTTATTATCGATGTTTATAATAATGGTGAGCATGCTTATCAAACACAAGTACACATTTTTATTCCAAATCCCTTGTCATTAGCAAGTATACCTACAGCATGCTTAGAATCAGCTAAGACGAATGAAAATGTTTTTCAAGTCATTTGCGACATTGGAAATCCTCTTACCAATGAAAACAACGTAAGTTCTCTCTCTCTCTCTCTCTCTCTCTTCTTATTACATTACTATGTAAATTATTAATAGTAATACAATATATAATTAAATTGACTTTAGAAAACAATGGTATTAGAATTGGATGCGAGTAAGGTTCGTTTCGATGTCAAGAGTTTGGAACTATTTGCAAATGTTTCTACAAAAAGTGAAGAAATTAATAAAATTGATAAAAATTATACCATGGATGTTTATTTTGACATTGACGTTGATATAGCTATAGCAGGGTAATTATTGTAATATAGTTATCAGTAAACTACAGTGTGCTAGAACATTTTTATAATTATAAAATGATCTATTTTAGAAAAGCACAAGACAATGTATACTCGTACTCTCAAGAGGATGAAGAAAGTTTACAAAATATTAGATTTAAACATATTTACGAAGTGCAAAAGTTTGGATTAAGTCCAATTAACGAAGCTACCCTATCGATAGAGATTCCAACACGTTGGAAAAGTACTGATTATGATATAGAATTGATTAGTATTAATCAAACTATTGCTTATATGGATGGTAATATTCTTAACTTGAAAATCAATGACATGGATGATTGTCAAAATTGTCAAACAAATGTTAAATTACATGATGAAAATCAATTTAACTTTAATAATACGCCAATAATTATTTCGTCTGATGACAGTTTAAAAAAAAGCACAAATGCATCTCTTGAAAACAGAGTACTGTTCATGAATTGTAGTAATCAACAGATTGTTTGTAAAAAAATAGAATGTACATTAAATCCTTTTATAAGTTCTTTATCCGTAGCTCAGCTCATAATTACTTTTGATTTTAAAGTATCAAATATTGTATGTAAGTAGTATGATCCATTATTTTCTAACAAATAACTTTAATTATTTCTATTGTAATTGTTTAGAATTTTTCTTATTTGAATTATTGTATATTTCAGCGTCATTTTTAAAAGACAAAAATATAATATTATTTGCGTCTAAAGGCAGAGTGAACATTACTCAACCACCTAATGTTATTCAAGGAAGTACAAATAAACCAGATATTACTGTCATAACAACCAAATTTGAAGGATCTCCAATAAATGAACGGGTAGCCATGTGGATAATAGCTTTATCAATATTTCTTGGAATCGCAGTTTTCATATTAATTAATTTAGCTCTCATTAAATTGGGTTTCTATCAAAGAAAGAAAAAAGAACAATTGGAGGCTTTAAAAGCTACGTCAAATGTAAGTTGTTTATTATACATCATCTATACACCAATTCGTTCGTATTACTTTATATTTTCATTGTGAATATTTTAGGATAAAGGTTCTATGGTTCTAAACACAACTTCATCTGAACCCTTTGATCTAGAGTAAGTGAATAAGAAATATGTTTTTAAATCTTGTTGTTTTTTTTCATGTCTTCTAATTATTTATTTTTAAAAATAATTATAATAAATAACAACGTGCATAAATGTTTATTACAATCATATAACATGTAAAATAAAATATATATATATATATATATTCATTTTAAAAACCACAATTCTTTATAAAAATATAAGTCGTAAAAATAGCAACATATTTGGTAAATTTATTTGTGCTGTTGAGTATAAACTATGTTAGAGAGGGTTAGCTAATAACGAAAGAAAGTTATACACATGTGTGATGTATAATGTAAATATTAAAAGAAAACCCTTATTGCACTAATTTTACTGGAGAGCATTAATAGTCGCATCACGCGTACTGGAAGTTCTTTATTATTCAAGACGAAACGAATCAAAACGTGAAGGTGAATTGCTTCCGTTAATCTGTTATTGTATCTTGTTAATTATACATTTTCTCTTTATCAACTGTTAGAAGAGATATTTGGTAAGTCATAATATTGAACATATTACAAAACATTTGGCAGTAAGCATTTGATACTTTTGTTATTATTTAAAATATGATTTTTGTATAGGCCAGAAGCATATTTTTGTACTTCTACGTTATACTCTATTTGTCTATATTTATAATTTATTCTTAAGCCACACAAAAAAAAACTGCAAGTTTAATTGCAGATATAGAAAATGCAAAACTTAATACTTCAGATCTTTGAAAAAGAAAGAGAAAGAGAGAGAGAGAGAGAGAGAGAGAGAGAGAGAGAGAGAGACATTAATATCGCATAATTTTTCTTAACTAGAGGCACTTCTCTTGCTAATTCTTTTAATCTCATCTACCAAATGAAGTATTTAATCGTCAAGACCAAGTCCTTTGGATATTTCCTCTGCCGTCATTTTGTTTCCTCCTGATTCAGGAGGCTTGTTCATATATGCGGAAGGCATTGATGTATTTGATGGTGGATAACTCGGAGGTTGTTCATGGTGTTTCTATATTACAAAATTTGACAAATAGATTAATAGTATGAAAGGTAGTCAAATTTATAATAATAATAATAATAATAATAATAGTCATTCTTCTACTCACATCTTTTCCATGTTTGGTTAATCCATCCATAGCTGAACTAAATAGTGAAGAACCAAGTGCAGAACCTATACCAGACAAGAAACTAGAACCACCAGATGCAGGTTGAGATCCACCATATGGTGCTGAATATCCACCATAGCCTCCTGTTGGTTGGTATGCTGGTTGTTGAGGTTGTTGAGCTCCACCACCTCCAAGAACTCCACCAAGAATAGATCCTAATGCTCCACTTAATGGGTCAGTATTAGTTGGTGGTGGTGGTGGTTGATATGCTGGTCGTTGTGCTCCAGCTCCACCTTAAAAAAAAAAAGAAAAACAAATTGTAATGATTTTCTTTCTCTTATAACTTTTTATTGAATTATCTTTAATATATAATACCTAATGCTCCAAGAATAGAGCCAAGAACATCGCCACCAGGCCCTTGAGAAGGATAGCCTTGTTGCGCATGTAAGTTCCTTTGTATAGCACTGGTTGCTATATTCGTGGCTATAGCAGTAAGTGTACTTGAAAGCGCTGAACCACTTTCACTCTTTGTATTAGGAGCATCTGTTTTTCCCATGTGTTCCTCTTCTTTCTTTCTCTGTAATGTTTAATCAATGTTACATTTTATTCGTTTTCAGTCAAATAATAATTACTCAAAGTTGGAATGCATACATTGGCATATTCCATGGCAACCATACTACCTGCAGCAGCTAATCCACTCCAAGGTATATTACTGAATAAACCACCGAATGAATTTTCTTTCTCACCCGATTGATTATTATCTGCAGGAGGACCATAAGGTGATGGACCGTAACCCGGAGGTGGAGGACCGTATCCTCCAATTGACTTAGTGTCTAAACTTGGATATAAACCACCTGGTGCTGTTTAAATCAAAATTAACATTGATATGGTAATTATCTTTAATAATATATTTAGAAAAATAATATTACGAATAGAAAGACAATATTAATAATAAATTCTTACGAGGAGGACCAAATTCTGCAGATGGAACTGACGGCATAGATGATGATGAAGAATGTACTGATCCAATGGGTACATGTTCATAACTAATGCTATATACTTCAACGTCACCATCGATCACCAAATGAGTTACTTTTTCGTAAGATAATCTATGCGCAAATTCGGCAAAGTGTCTGCCATTAATAGCAATTTTATAATTTGCATGATCACATAAAATAATCATTTCAAATTGTTGTCCAGGTTGTATGCACAAGGGACCTTCATCCTCGTTAGCTCCCCATGTCATAGATTCAATATGATTTCTTGTAATAACACCCTCAGCAAATCGTGGTGATATATGAAGGGCTATATCATCCCTTGGATTTAATATCGGTCCTAATTGATAATTGACAGCAAAGCGTACAGCATTTTCAGGAACTTTACCACGAATCCTTACCATTTTTCCAGGTTCCAAACCATTTTCAACCGTTCCCACATAAGGAATTTCCTGCAAAAAAAATAGATAATCAAAATCAAAAAGAAATTCATTTATTAAGACAGTTCGTTTACAGTGATAGCTCATGTTTATTAATAAAAGGTGCGGTAATATGTTATCATCGTCAATACAGTTTAATGTTACAGCAATGCAGATAATATTAATGTACCGGATAACTTCTATATTATTGGAAATAGATACGTAAATGATAATAAAATAATAAAAGAGATTAACTTACCGGATTTGTTGCAACTTCTGTAGCCATTATAATATGAATTAGTATAATATAATTTAAGAGAATATGATAGATATTTAACTGTACGTCAGTACTGCGTACAAAAAAATATGACGTGAAGCTTCTTGGCCTTCACTTATATATCATCAACTTCTATTTGCAGTGGTGACGTATATATTCGGTATGACACAATTCTATTCTAACTGTAATGTAGTAATTTAGTTCCTTTCGTGAACAACAGATGACGTTAAGATCTTTTAATACTGATTTTGATCATTAGGTGGCGTTAACGTCGATGATTTGTGGTATCACTGCTCACTAGATTAAAGATATACAAAATGATTAACGTGTATAGATAACTTTATTGATAAATTTGTATTTAATATGTATAACAAGTAATTAAACTCAGTTTTAAAAATACATGGTGAGTACAATGCGTTGTGTGTTGTGTAGTGTGTATACGTCATTAATTATTGTTCTTTCGTTTTATATGTTTGTTGGTCTGTTTTATCATTTGAGGTATAGTTGTATAAGCGGCCAGCAGAGGCGTGACTGCAGATACGTGTCCGTCACAGATTGCGCACGAAATTCGTTATCAATAATGTCAATTTTGTTTACATTCAAAAGGATTGTTAATTAATTGAAAGTAAAGTTCTGACAAAAGAAAGAAATATATATTTTTCATTTATATTTTCATCAAATATTCGATCGCTGACATTGAATTGTTTATCTTAATAATAATTTATTGGATTTCGTTAAAACAGTCGGTAAACATTGTGTATACAATTATAATCCATATTTAAATTTAAAATAATATTGACAATTTTTGGTGTCATACACATTGGTTGGTCTGACAATAAAATTAACGGAACTTAATTTGGTTTAAAGATTTTCAATAATAAAGTGTTTCATTTTATTAAGATAAATTTACTAAATCGTTCATACAGTGAAATATAATAGTATAATATAAATATTATAGTGTGATTGATGTCAAAAATCATGTCAAAAGCAAAAAAGATAAATTATTCCACTGGGAAGAAAAAAAAAAGTAATCAAAGTAAGGTTAAGAAGAAGAAGAAGAAATCTAGGTCAGTATTCAGATTATTTTGTTTTTTATCTTTCAATCTATATATATATATATTAATTTGTTAATAATGTAACATAATTTGAACAATAAACAATGAACTTACAGGGAATTACGAAAAAGAATTAAAAGTGAGGTTAAGGTAGAAAATCAGCAGCAATCAGATTTGTCTACTACTGTAAGTATTCATAAATTTTGTGCAATTTGTCTTATACAAATTAAATGATTTATTTGTTTTTTTCATAGACAATGAATTATATGTAAATTTTTTTTAGATGAATAATGATGATTCGCCTGGACAATCTCAATGTTCTTTATTTACTACACCAAGTAATCTTCCTATAAAAGAAGAAAAATGTTCTGATATGAAAGCGGTAGTTCCTTATAATATTAATAACGTTTCTTTTGTACATCGCAGTGAACAAATATTGGCAAATATTCAAAATGATTTTTTTCATCATCTTTATGAAAGCAATCTTATTTTAACTCTTCCAAGTCAATCATGGTCAATACATTATACGAAAAAACCAAAACGTTCTATTGTTTTTAGTCAAATTACTTTATATAACGATAGGAATTCTGGATATGTACCTCATTACTTTAAAAAAGTATGGATTAGGTTTATTTATGTTTTATCTTGTTCTATTGTCATCGAGAATTTTTCTTTCTTATTTTCTTTTGTTTCAAATTATTTTTAATTTATATTTTCTTTCAGCTTGTTTTGTATGAAAAAATGGCATATGAGATTTATTTATACAACTCCAAAACTATAGACAATGACTTCGCACCAATACAAACGGTACCACAATTAATGCGTATTTTATCATATTTAAATAATTTGAAACTTTGCAAAGGTGGGCCTGTAATCAATTGCTGTGACAATATTAATCTAGAATGCGCTTATAAAGATAAAGACAGATGGAGACATAATTTATGTACTTTGAAACTAAGAAAGGCTGCTGGTGTATGCAACTTATGTTTATCATTACATGCTATATTACAAAAATCTAAAACACTTGCCAAACGAAAGAACAATAAGACTGATTCGCGTAAAAGAAAAAGAAAAAGACAAAATTAACTTTTGCTTATCACCCTCCCGTGGTGGTAAACGTTTGTTTTTCTTTTTCATCTCATTCTCATGTCATTATTTAGTTTTAAGACAATAAAGCATTTCAACCGATGCTTTAGAAATGAAATAACTTTTTGCAAACTTTTTTGCGTAATACGTGTAGTGTAAAAATTCAAAGCAGGAAATTTCAATACATGACGAATGAATGCATTTTTTCCTATTCGATATTCAAATAGTTAAGTTTTACAAACGTTGCTGTGATACGATTTTTATACCATATATACATATAAATAATATATTCGTAGAATTAAATGTGCGTATTTTGATAAGTTCGTTGATCTTACAATTAATGTTCTAATATAAGAAAAATATTAATCATATTTAAAACGAATAAATTTTGGAATAGAATTTTTCTAATGTAATTAGCTTTGATAAAAAAAAAAAAATTAATTCGACAATTAATTCTGAAAAGAATAACATACATACATACATACACACACACACACGTTTAGGAAGCAAAAGGATCGTTTTTTTTATTTTTTTATTTAAAACGTTACACTTAAACACGATTCTTTATTAGAGACTGTTATAATTTATTTCATATAAACATTTGATACAATTTCATGTTTTTTTTACTTGAAGTGTTTATTTTAATCGGAATTAAATACAGTAATTAAGATTCTATATAGAATACAATATATTATAGTTATAAATGGATGGAGTAATGAAGAGTGATCATCAAGATTCGATTTGGCATGATATACAATACAATGATGATGACATTATATCAGTGTGTACTTTGATAGAATTTCAAATGAACCAGTTGTTTGTTGTTGTTGTTGTTCTTGTTTTTCTTCTTGTGACGTATAAAGCAAACATTTTCATTGTAAAAGAATAAAGCAGCGATTAAAAGAGTAAATATATTAATCTAAAAAGAAGGGTGCACTGCACACAGACACACACACCAAATGGGGAGGAATATCATCCCCCCCACCGATCGTTAATTCAATTTCGATAAGTTTGAAACATTTTCATCATCAAATTTGAAAACTCGGAAAAGGCGCTAAGTATTTTCTTTATTTGTTAATTACATATTTCACAGATTTTTTTATTTTGTAACGAGTTTGCAAAAATTAAGAAACAACACGTTGTTTGTTCCTTCCTTTTTTATATATATATATATTTTTTTTTTATTAACATGATTGATCCTTTATTATTAATCCTTTCATTAACAACGACCCATATAATTCGTTAGTGAGAAACATGTTAAAACGAAAATGGATTACAAATTTCGATCAAGATTTAGAAATAGAATTTTTGAACATACTCCAGACATAGATGAGAATTATTTGAAAAAATAGTTGAATTTTATCAAAGATATGTTCGCGTATACAGCCATATTCGCAAACAACACGTTGATACATATGGGGGGTGGGGGAGGGGTTTGAGCTTGCATATTATATCGAATGATGTGTTTAATCAAAATTATAATTAATGATAATAATATTGCGAGAATAAGAATAAAAGTATCGTCAATTATTATTTTTATTTTTTATTGTTATTATTATTATTATTATATAATTAATATTATTAATATTATTAATATTATTATTATTATTATTACTATTATTATTATTATTAATATTATTATTATTATTTCCAGTCAAAAACATATTTTAAAATCTACTTTACAATTGATGACAAAGGAAGTTTTTATTTTTTTTTTTTTTTTATATATTTTTATCGACAGTTTTTCGATTTTAATAGTTCGATGTTTCATAAAAGAATCGCAAGATAAAATATATATATATATGTATGTGTATGTATATCATTATTTGAATGACAATGAGTTTCATTGGTATACATAAGGAGGTGTGTATGTAGTAATCCGTTAAGCGGATAGGCTTTTTTTTTATTATTATTATTATTATACTAAGAATAAGCTTCGTATGTATAAAATTGTTGACCATTATTTAAAGGATCAACTAGAGAGAATTTTCTTCTAAAAGACGACTGAAAAATAGTAGAGTATGATCGATCCGTTTTGATATGAGCAGAACTAACTGTATCTTCTTATTTTCTATCGTATCTTATATCCTAAATCGTGTTCGTAAATATTATGTATATATCTTAATAATAAATATACAGTAAATATACATTTATAATATTCAAACAGTGACAATATTCGCGCATCTTACGGAGATAGTTTTTTTTTCTTTTTTTTTTTTACTGACTTATATTTATCATGTTTTCTATTTTATTAATTATTAGGAGTGTCCTCACAATCAGTCCGATACACACGTCTCTTTAAGTCAACGAATACCACCATCTGTTAGAATCTTATCGAACTAACAGAGATAATTATGACTCTTTGTTAATAAACAAATAATTCGATTATAAATTGAGATATAAACTATCCTATCTTTCAAATTGAATGAAACTGCACGCAGTGTGCTAAATTTGATTAAAATCGGTTCAGTAGTTTAGGAGTCCATTGCGGACAAACAACGTGATTGTCTATGGGTTGATTGATGAAAAATACGAGTACATTGTCACTGTTTGAACACAGTGTTATTAATTCGCATCATATATGGACTAGACTCGATTATTTCTAATAATAGTATTTTTCTTAATTCAAGTTAAAGTATTGCATGGAAAAGAAGAAAATATTTTGTATGTTTAGATGTTGTTGTTGTTGTTGTTGTTGTTATTATTATGAGAGATTGAAAATGTGATTTTAGATTTCTTTTTTTAACGTTTATTAAGCACTCAAGATGTCGAGGGGGTCGAAGCGAATTATTATGCTCTCGATTTTTAATATTAAGTATGATTTTTTTTTTACAATTGGCAGCAAATATGACAAACACGATGTCCGTAATTGAGAAAGATTTTTCTATTATTTCTCAATTTGCCGTTTAACTCTTTGAAGCACGCTGAGATTCAAAAAGTCCCACACCTTTTTTGATACACCGTATAATGCACGGTGTATTGCAATAGCTACACATGCTCATAAGTTTATATTTCGTCTTATTTACGCAAAGCAATTGATTATTAATTCTTTTTTTTATGTTATGTTTTAATTTTGTTTCATTTAAAAAGTAGTAAAATTTTGTATGCAACATAGTAAGGGCTCTATTTTATTATCTGCAATTTTGTGCCGCAAAGAGTTAAATAATAAAATATAATTATGCCAAAAGGGGGAAAGGTTTTTCTTTTCATTTCTTTTCTTTTCTTTTTTTTACACAATAAAGCTCCGACCGTATAACAGTTAAATCTATTTGATTCATTTGATTGCAAAGTCAATTAAGATTTTTTTTTTTGCATTAGGGAATAATCATAAGGGAACATTGTATCAAGAGTAAATATATTGCTGCAGTGCTACACATACGAACAACGCAACATTTTGTAATATTCAAATAATTCTTATTAAAAAAAAAAAAAAAAAATCATAATAATAATAATATTTTAATAATTAATTATCATTCTTTCATCAAAATGTGTCTCGTACAATCATTTGACTTTGCAAAATGTGTGAATATTTTGATGAAATGTTTTAAAGTTATGGAAGGCTCGCTCGCTCGCTCGCTCGCTTGCTTAGGTTTTGCTAAATATGCGTTACACATGTACATAAACGATGTATAAATTAATTAAGTACAAAAATTACAAACTTATTAACAGAATATATTGGCAAGACTGGGGGGATCGGCCGGATGAGAATACGTTTTTTATTTTCTTTCTTTTTTGGGGATTGGGTCGTAGGCAGGAAGAATGTTGAACTTTCTTTTCTTTTGATTTCCTTTTTTTTTCTTTACGGTTTCATTTCAGATCAGATGTTTTCGACGACAAAGTGTATTTGCATTTTTGTTTGTAGAAAGATTTTTTTTCTAACAAGTACAATATTGTTCATTGAAAATTGATCTCTTTTTTTTTAATGACATTTATACACTCATTTCAAAATTTGTTGTCTATCCACATAATTGATTCTTTATCTTTCTACAACATAGCACAGTGTGGTGTTTCGTCTCTTCATGATGACCATGGATCAGAAATTTGATCATCTTTTAACTCTTTGGGGCACGGTGGGATTAAAAGTGTCCCAACCTTTTTGATGTATTGCAATAGCTACACATGCTCGTAAATTTATATTTCGTCTTATTTTGCGCAAAAACAAATGGTTATTAACTCTTTTTTTTATTATGTTTCAACATTATTACATTATGTAATAATAATTTTATTAATAAAAAATATATATATATATCAATTTAGTTTAATTTAAAACGTAATCAAATTTCTCTATGCAACAACATAGTAAGGGCTATATTTTATTATCTGCAATTTTGTGCCACAAAGAGTTAAAGTAGCTAAATGTGCAAGGAAGCCAACGATTCGCGTAAGAAATAATGTGTTCAATTCTCTATTGAAAAAAATATCATTTTTCCCATCAAATTTCCCTTTTATAATTTAATTTATTGTATAATAAAATGTGATGATGATGATGATGATGATGATGATGATGATGATGATGATGATATGTGAAAAGTGATATTTTATTTGCGAGAGAAGGAGTAAAACCATGTGTGTCTTTTGAAATTATTTTTTAATCTAATATACGAAGAGAGAACAGGAGATTTGTCTTTTTTTTGTTTTGTTTTTTGTTTTTGTTTATTTGTTTCGAAGTATTGAAGCTTTTTAACACGGTGGTAAGTTGGTGGGGTGGTCAAAATTTAGAGAATTATTTACGGTTTACGCATGGGGAACATTGACAATATTTCTTGTTTTTTGTTTTGTTTTTATAATCTTTGGAGTAAGTCGTAGGCACTTGCCACTTGCCACTTGCCACTTGCAACGTAGCTTTAAAATCATAATTTATTTAAAATCTTTCAAAATTCACATCGTTCCTCTTTTTAACATTCTTCTAATAAATACTTATGTATTTATGGTGTGTGTATGTAAGACACGTGACTACGACATACGCCCCAAGGTATTGTTTAGGAAAGACATCGCTAACACGGTCCTGTGCACGGTTTGCTTTTCCTCTATTTCTTTCTTTCAATATTCTTTTATCTTTTCCATTCAAATCTTTTTCTCTTTATCTCCTTTATTATTATTATTATTATTATTATTATATTATTAGTATTATTATTATTATTATTATTATTATTAATATTATTATTATTATCTTCTATTCTTTCTTTTCTCACAATTCATAAATATTTCGTTCGTTCGAATATATGCCTTTGAAGAAGAATATTGCATTCGAAGATTTACCTAAGACGTATCACAGAATTAACACTTTTTTTTTTCTTTCTTTCTTTTTCTTAATTAACGAACAAACGAACAAATAATAATAATAATTTAAACAAAACAAAGAAACAAACAAAAATCAAGAAAAAGAAATCGTAATGTAATAATCGTTAATAATAAGCTAAAATGAAGAAAATAAATGAAAAACTCTATAACGCGTGTTATTAGTTCGTCCATAATTATTATCTCATCGAGGATCAAATTATTGGGCGAAAAAGATAATAAATTAAATCTCGTTTAAGTGTGTTGCGTTTAAGTTTAAGTTTTAGTTTAGTTTAGTTTAGTTTCGTTGTTGGATAATACATTATTCGTAGAATAAACTTTGTGCTTTTATCGAATGAATGATATATATACCGTGTGCCATGGTCTACTTGCACCGGTAAACGATCCAATTATTAATTTCTTAGAAAATAGTAGCACGCTCATCTCGATCTCCCGTTTTACCTAGGACGCTTTCGATACACCTTTTAAAAAGGGAACTAGACATTTTCTAATACGCCATTCATTTATTCTTTAGTACTTAACTTTTTCTTCAAGTACCCTGATATCCTAGATAGAGATCACTCCGCTTATTTTAAATTGATATCGACGAAAGAATATGGAGGAAGGTGAAACGTTTTTCATTAATTTCACGATACTTATTACTACTAGTAGTAGTAGTTCCTCCTTCCTCCGTTGTTCTCGTTTCTTTTTATTTTATTTTATTTTTTTTTTTTAATTATTAATCGACATAGACGATTATACATAGTAGAGAAAGTGAAGAAGAAGAAGGAGAAGAAGAAGAAGAAGAAGAAGAAGATGCTTGTCCTTACAACTTATAGATCGATATTACGGATAAATTAATATAATGAAAGATATTATACCACGTAATGAGTATATATTACAATACCATATGATTATTCTTACAAATTAATAGTTTAATCGGTATTATCTGTATGATACAGTCACGTGATTTGTAATCCGTCTCGGTGAGGACATCTCCATTGAGATACCTGAAAGTTGACGAGTAAACCGTGTGCGTTTTGTTCGATAGAATATTCTCATTGCAATAAATAATTAAGTCTATTAAAAAAGGCCAAATAATTAATTGATAATGCAATTCTTACCATGATCACCGAGATAAAGGGACGTTGTGGCGGTGATAGGGCTATTGGTTGAGCAGGGTGTTGGTCACCTCAGAGATGGACAACAAAGGACTCCCGGCGTCCGGTTTGGAATCTGTGGTACAGTTGAGGCCACCGTTGCCCCCGTCGATGAGCCCACTACGTGATGGTGGTGGTGGTGGTGCGGAGGATGATATAATACGTTGCTGTTGTTGGTGGTGCTGTCCGAGCCTAGGGACATGCCCATGCCCATGCCCATGCCCATGCCCATGCCCATGCCCATGCCCATGCCCATGCCTATTCCCACCGCACTCCCCGCTCCCGCACCTGACGGCGGTGTGCTGTAACCAAAAGTATGTCCCGGTTGGTTACCTTACGACATCTTCGTTCATGCCTAACCGTACCACTAACGTGCAATCGAAATGTGGGATTAATATCGATCACGATCAATAAATATATTTCTTTTTTTTTATCATCAAATTCGTATTTATAGTTTATAATTTACATGCGATGACTTTATGATTCAAGTATTTTACGCGATACACGAACAAGTTTTATTTCAATTCGACTTTAGTGCGCACAAAATGGGAGGGAGAGAAATAGAAAGAAAAAGAAATCAATCTACAAAGTTACGATAATTTAGACTTATTTCACCGTATAGTATTTATTTAAGCGATCTCGTATCGTATGATGATATGACGGAGTACTTAAAGATCAGATTCGTTTAGAAAAACAGTGAACGTCACAATAAAAGTAGTGAGGTAGCGGTGACACTCACTGGGGCGTGTGCCTTGGTGGTGCGGGGTGGTGATGGTGGTAGGGATAGTACTGGTAGTGATGGTGGTGTTGCACTCCTTGCCATACCTCGGAGCCCGCTTCCCCGTGGCCATGGCCTGGATGAGAGTGCGCATATCCTATGGTGCTCGCTGTAGCGGCCGCTGCCGCTGCTGCTGCTGCAGCAGCTGCTTGATATTGGGTCGTGGCGACAGGATATTGTGCCTGATGTTGCTGCGTTTGCGGTTGTTGTTGATGATGTTGCTGCTGCGATTGCGGCTGCTGTTGTTGTTGCTGCTGCTGCTGTTGTTGTTGCTGCTGCTGCTGTTGTTGCTGCTGCTGCTGCTGCTGTTGCTGCTGCTGTTGCTGTTGCTGTTGCTGCTGTTGTTGTTGTTGTTGCTGCTGCTGTTGCTGTTGCTGCTGCTGTTGTTGCTGTTGAGTTTGTTGTTGAGGTGTTTGCTGTTGTTGCGGGTGATGCTGTTTGTTTCTCGGAGGACTGGAAGCCGTGACCGCTTGTTGCTGATCGCTCGGAGACGTTTGTCGCCACTTGCAATCACCGTTCATTGAATTCATTTCCGCGAGAGACTTCAAAGGATCACCTGCATTTGTGACCGGAGCGTTGGTCGAGTGTGTTGAAGAATGCGTCGAATGAGGAGTCGGTGGGCTGTAGCTACCATTGTTTCTTGGTGGCGTACGAGAAGGAGGAGCTCCCCACATGAGAACCGTTTGCCGTGGCGCCTCGTTTCCGTAGACTTCCGGTTTAACGTCTTCCATTTTGGGAGTGAGGACTCCGTTGGTCGTTCCGGTAACCGGTGAACTTCCGGCCGAGTTACTTGAAGAGGCACCGCCTTCGAGCGAGTGCCTGCTTCCGGCGCGAGCGACGTTGATGTCTGCCGTCGTAACGTGCATCGTCGACGCACTGGCGACTGGGCTGGCCGCATAAGGGGAACCACTCACGCTACTCGGATGTCTACTTGCTTCGACGTAGTTGTACTTCGGTGACTCGGCGCTACCGAGTTGCTGACAATACAGCTTCTCCTCCGTTTTGCTTGTTAGTTGATGAGTCTCGTATGTTGGTAGAGATACGTCGATGAACCCATTGTACGGTGTACTTGTGTGATATTCTGGGTAGTAAGAACCAAGTGGCCTGTATTGAAAGAGATTCTCCGTAGCCGCTGTAAGGTACCTAATTATGACAAAAACGAACGTGAGAACTAACGCGTTATTATAAAAGACGAGTCGATGTTAGGCTTTGTAAGTAGACTTTTAAGTACCTGTTATCCAACGCAGTGGCTGGGTAAAGCGTTTGATGGTAATTACTCGTATGACCGATGTAAGTAGTCAAGGATGGATCGGCGCTCGCAGCTACAGCAGTGGGGGCGTAAGGTGTAGGATACATCGTGTTCAGGTTGCTATAAGCTGCAGCCACTGCGGCGGCGGCACTACTATCGGCCGTGAGATAATCCACCGATGCCATCGTGGGAGTAGCTGGGGGTGATACCGAGGATTGCGTGGAAAGTTTGGTCCTTTTACTCCGACACGTCGATAAAAAGTCGCGCAATTGAGTTTTGTATCTTCTGTTCACCCTTTGCGGTGTTGATTGGGTCGGAAGCGTAGGTGTCATCACGGAACCTGTTAAACTATCACTGTCGGAAAAGTAACTGTTGGTTAAACCAGCGTCCAAGTAGCTCACTTTGAAGTCCATGGTTCGTTTTCCCAACAAATCTCTACCTTCCTCTTCCCTGTAATGGAAAATCAAGAAAATTTTGTAGCATTTCGATTAAAATCATTTTATTCATTATTTATCAAATTTCAAGATATACTAACATCAACGGCCGATGAGTACTTATTATAAAATCTGGCTTGGAATTTTTATATACCAGCCTGGAACTCGTCTGCAACCATTGCCATCCACCGTCTTTCGTTTGAAATCTGTATGCTATCATACCGGATGCTCCCGTTTTTAATACTGCAATCATATAATACTTAATTCACATCGAGAATTAACAGAGACAAACTGAACGGTAAATGCTTTTACTTACATTCTTGGTGCGCACTGGCTACATAGGCCAAATCATCGTAATGAACGAGATCGTAGCCACCCAGGTTGGCAAGTTCAACGTCCGTATATCCTAAAAGCATTTTCCCTCGTTGATCCATCGATACCAAGCCGAGGTCTAATTTGTGTTTGCTCTTAAACATAACTTCCTTCTGTGGTACTTCCAAAAGCGAGGGTGGCCCGAATGGTATACACAAGGCAAACAAGGCCAGTGGCGGTTGTTCGGTTTTTTTATTTTGTCCATGGAGTACCTTAACTCGTCCCCTGATATCCAAGCGCTGAAAGGAAACATTTGACATAATCAAAGATCGTCATTGCAATGAAAGCAAATAATATTAGAAAATGTTTCCCAGTTGAATGAATGAATGAACGAATGAATGAATGGTTGCAATAATTTCATGTAAATGTATTTCTTCCTTTTCTTTTTTGTTTTTTTTTTGCTAAAAACTTTACTCGCGAATGGATATCCTCGTTGGGTCGAGAGATACCGCCAAGGGTGAGGGCCGGACTCATTGCTAAACCTTTTACGCCGTGAACCTTTTACGATTACAGTTTCATTTTCATAAACGTCAAAGCGGTCCTGTTTTTGCGAAGGCGTTTGCGCGGCCTTCTTTCGGGTTGCGACTTAAAGCTAAATCGTTCCTGTCCTTTTATAGCTATATATGTAGTTGCCCTATACACACGTCTTTGTCCTCCCTTAGCTTACAGAAGACAGAAGAATATACCTCTCTACATCTGTCGTGTGTTTGTCCTAAGATAATTAGTGTTTTACCGCTTCCACGCCATATCCGAGGTTACTCGGGTTTTGCTCTCCATATTTGATTTATTTCATACTTCTTTACTTGACCCTACACACTAATAGCAAAACGAGACACAGATAACACGACGAATATTCTCAACATCGACCAAGTGTTTCTTTATTTTATTAATAAAATAAATACCATTATAAATTACCCATATTTAAATATTTACCTCGAAACATATATTAAATGTTATCAAAATTAAACATGCAAATTTTATAATTGTCAAATTCATATAAATAGTATACCAAGTTCTAAAATGGTTTGATTTGTTGTCTTAAGTAAAGTAGGAACGTGCAATTTCTTTCTTGCGGAAAAACGAAGATGGAGAACAGAATGGTAAGAGATGTACAACGTAATATACCTACATGAGGAAAGAAAAAGGTAGAGGGATAGGTAAGCGTAGAAGAAAAAAAAAAGGCAATTACTTGGGTCGACGGGGAAAACGACGAAGACAAACGGATGACCACAAAACGGAGCTCGCTTTCTCACTCACTCACGCTTCCTTACCCCCCCCCTCCCTCCCTCCTTCCTTCCCCCTGCCGGACCTCCCTTTATGACAGTGAAATTATTAATTACTGTTTTGTATGCCGGCACTTTGCTTTTGTCAGCGTGGAGAAACGTTCTGAGTGCGACCGCAATGCGCTCGGGTAAATCCTCCTCCCTATCCTCCTACCCCTATATCCTTCAAACTCCTTTATTTGTCGTTTTCAGGTAGATAGGATTCCATCTTGTAATCTCAGAAATTTACGCGAAAAAGTACAATCATTTTGACCAGCTTAAAACTCATTCATTTTTTGGTATATTGAAGCTAAACTATAGTCAAGTCTAATCCTTGCTAAAAAAAAAAAAAAAGAAAAAAAGGTAAAGGTGACTGTACAGTTACTCGACAAAATTGTCCATATATTAAAAGAACTCTAGGCAAAATTTAGCATATCTTGATATCATCGTCGTGGCAACCCAACGCGCTCTTTTTATCCTGACATATATTTCTTTGTATAATTCATTCCATTATTGATTTGATATAATTTTAGTTAGATATATAAAAAGAAAAAAAAAAAAAAGAAAAAAAGAGAAAAATTCCAAACGATTAGCATAATACGAATACGAATCTGATTTAGTATACACTTTATGGAAAATTTCATTTTAATTAATTGTTTCAACCTTACCGTCATTTTCTATTCTTTTACATTTATGTTTTGTTATTTTAGAAAATTAAAAAGAAGAATGGACTTACCAAAAATCCCGACGTATTGTCCAGAAGACAACGAAAGCGTACGGTAAAACTGCGTTCAAGTAGATGACTGTGTTGAGGTGATAACGCATCGTGAAGAGGGAGACTTGCATTTTCAGCAGGTAAAAATGAATTCCACATTAATTGTCTTTGTAATTCTTCTCTATCTTCGCTATGCACCAATTCGTAAACGCTCTGATGAACGATGTCCGACTGAAACAAATGAAAAATCATCGAATTAGATTATATTCATTTATTTTTATTTGATGTATTGGTATTTTATTCAAATAATTTATGCAACTTGTACAATTACCAATACATATATATATATACGAGATAACACACACACACACACACATTCTGCAGTACATGGATATTTTGAAAGGGTTGATTTCAACAGCAGAGTGGCGCAGTGGAAGCGTGCTGGGCCCATAACCCAGAGGTCCGTGGATCGAAACCACGCTCTGCTAAGATTTTTTTTTTTTTTTTTTTTTTTAACGAATATTTCACTACATCCTTTCCAAGAAATAAAACAATAGTTTATTAATATTTTATTCGCAAGTAGCTTATTATGATTCATCTTATGTCGTTTCTTTTAAGATGCATCATCATAAGTGGAATATAATCGCAGATATACTAATGTTGCTTAAACAAATATTCAACTTTAAAAACATAGTAAGATTGATAAATATAAGTTGAAATTATCGCACTAAATAAACGGTTAAATATTTGTTTATGTAAAAAGTAAGAAAAAGAAAAAAATATGAAGATGAAAGATATCTTTGATCGTGATAAGGGATTAGAGAGCAAGTACTGGGCGGTTCGATGATTACACGTTATCGTATACTTTCGTGTGTGCAACTTTGTTGTTGTTTCTCTCTCTCTCTTTTCTTTAATAAGAATAATTATATTAATATATATATAATCTAGGAAATATATATATTAGATTAAAATAAATTTCAGCAAGATTAGAAGATAAGAAAACACCGAAGCAGAGTGGCGCAGTGGAAGCGTGCTGGGCCCATAACCCAGAGGTCCGTGGATCGAAACCACGCTCTGCTATAAGAAAATGATTTCTTTTTTTTTTCTTTTCTTAAACGATTCCATTCGATATTGATTTTTACGAAAGAATCCTTTCGTTAGGTTTAACTGCGAATTCTCCGACGGTAGAAAATAATGCATCGTTGTTAGGTTTAAAATAACATATGATTTCATAGAACGTTGAGTGTGTTGTCTGTCAGACACGTTAGTAGTAGTGGTGGTGATGGTGGTGGTGGTGGTGGTATCTTTCGCTATAAGTCTAGCCATATCGATCCTTTTACTTTTGTAAAGGACGTAAGTAGAAACAAGCTGGTGGATAAGTTGATTTCCTTGCAATAAGTCGTCCTAGAGCAAGATGCATCGTAGTAGAAGACATTAGAATTTATTTTAGTTGGAAATAGAAAGAAGAGAAGAAGAAGAAGAAGAAGTAGAAGTAGGTATGCGCGAATGATAGGATGAAAGGTAAAAGGAGAAGGAGGATGGCATTAAGAGAAATCTTTTCTTTCTTTCTTTCTCTCTCTCTCTCTCTCTCTCTGTGTGTTTCTGCTTCGTAAAATAAAACGTTTCGAATGCGAAGAAGGGTAGGACGGGTGGAGTGGCATTATTTCAGGAAATATCAGATCGGTCGTGACGGCGTGCAGCGACACAAGCGCATATACGGCCCATGTAGCTACACGTGTTCGACGCACTTTATCGCGCATAATTAATCCAGACTAGCTTGGCCTCGAATGATGAGTCTCCGCACGACAGCAGTGCATAGTTTTACCTTTTAGAAATGGTCATGCTCATCGTCGTCCTAGAGGCTTCTGGTTCCACACAAAAAGAGAGAGAGAGAGAGAGAGAGAGAGATCTAAGATGATGATGACGGTGTAAAGCGAGAGAAAAAGAACTAATCAATCCCAGCACTGTACGGTACTACTAAGAGAAAGAGAAAGAAGGATATACCTCGAGCATAGGTGTAACCGCGTGACTTTTAATCCGATAATCGGTGTGCCGATGCAAGCACACGCATCCCTGGAACGTTGGTTGAACTGAAATAAAGCTTGGTACTACTCGAGAATAGATCGGACTCGGCTCGTTCGACCATTACCTGGTCATGGCTGTCAGGACAGGCTCTGCTCGTTGCGAATAATATAATAAATCACGTGCTAGAGACTACGTGAGAAAGAGAGAGGAAGAGAGAGATCACAACGTTAGCTTCGCGTTAACGTTTCTAACCGAAGAACGTCGTCGTTGTTGTGCACTGCTCGATGCACTGACACCTTCTCTCTCTCTCTCTCTCTCTCTTTCTCTTTCTCTGTATCTTTTCTCGTCTACCTCTCTATATACACGCGTACACGCGCGTCTACATTTCGTGCCCAAACGAATCTCGGGGGTATCAGCGTCGTGAGGATCTCACGACTTCCATGTTACCCGCGTACCATCCCTGCCATTATGCGCGATCTTACACTGTGTATCCTATATATAGTTATACTTACGTATGTATATATATATACATACATACGTAAACACATAGAGGTAGAAATTCCGTGTAATCGTAAGACACTGCATTTTCCATAAGTGAAAATGTCGAGGAGAAGCGTATCGAACTTTCACCAATCCCGAGGTCTCTCGTGGTATATCATTTTTTTGTTGTTCTTGTCGCTGTCGTTATTTTGTCTCGAATGTGTTTTTCTTTTCTTTTGATCGATTTATCATCGACTGTTGGCATTTGTGGCGGCACTATCGGAGCTCTCTCAAGCTGAAACGGAAACCGAAACAAGAGACCAACTTGCGTCTCGTAAAACTCTCACCGTCTCGATAAATATATAGCAAGAGGTATCGCAAAATCGTTCGTACGAACAGCAGGTAAGGAAGAGAAGAGAGTAGTCGCCGCCTTGAGAAAGGAGTCCCATGAAGTTCTTCTCCATGGGATCCAATGAATTCGAGCGTCCCGTTTCCCGCGGTTAACCGTCTAGTCGCAACCCTGCTGCGATCGGGTAGAAGGGGAAAAAAGGATACTCCCTTTGCTCTAATTTTAATCAACGATTATACATGATTTCTCTGCTAATCGATGAAAGAAAGTGATTCTACCTTCTTCTTCTTCTTCTTCTCTTATTCAGCTGGTCTACTTGAAATTAGATTAAATCGAGATTGCAAAAAGGTTTACTTTGAGTTAACATTAGAAGAAACGGTAAAAGTAATTTGATATTACGTGTGTGTGTGTGTGTTTCTACACAAAATTGAGCTTGACTTGATCGAGTCGTAAGCTCGACTACCGCGAGTCTTCTAAGAGATTTTAGTCAACCTACAATCATAAGTTCCATTATAATGGCTCGCCGTCACGTATTCGCCTATAATGGCACTCGGATTAAACAACCACGGGAGCTTTTATTAAGCGAGCTTAATCGTAAATTATATTTTAATTGTCGAACGATAGAAAAGTTTCTACAGATTATATTCTCGTTGTATATAATTGGCAGTGATTAGGCGAATGCCTATGAAAATTATTCATTCAATTATATAACATTATTATTCGTTGGTATATATTTGGTAGCATTGTTGGTCTTGCTTGGTCCGATAGCACCGATACCTTTGGGTAGCTTTGGGCATCGATCGTCGTCTCCGGAGTTATACTACTCTCATCTTAGATGTTTTTTTTGTTGTTGTTGTTGTTTTCATTGGTTTTATGCCGTAGCTTGGTTGTTGGTTCGCTCGCTCGCTCGCGCGAGTTGAGGTCAGTTACCGAAGGTAAGGCGGCGGGCGGGCGGTTGGTTGGTTGGTTGGTTGGTTTGCCGGTAAGGTCCGTAACGTTTGTTACCATTGCTCGTTTAAATAATCTCGAAACATGTATCCGCGGGACGGAGCGGCCGAGTCATGGATGGCTTTACGATCGACCCTCGTCGTTAATTAAGAGCTTGTAATTATTTAGTGGAGACGCTAGCGCACCCCCGCCGGCATCGGAGCAGTCTCGCTCCCTCGGCAGACTTGATTTACATTCCAACGAAGAATGCCGAGGCAAAAGCCTCGCCTTATACTCTTCTCCTCTTGCCTTGCCTTACCTTGCTTTACTTCACCTCACCTTACCTCACCCCCCTCACCTATTTCCTTTTTCCACCATCATCAAACAACAACGGTATCTCCTTTGAGGAGACCAACTTTCTTCTTTTTATCCGAGAAAAACTTTCTTATCGTTCTGCAAACTCTACTGGAGTTCCCTTCAAATCTTAAAGAAACACACTATCGTTTTTCTTTTTGACGTTCGAAAATTTGAAAATCGTTATCGTTATATATTTCAGTGTCAGCTAGCAGCAGCAGGTATCAAAGATAAAGCAAAGAAACTTACCAAGAATACGTCCGGGTACCGAAAAGACGCTGTGTCGAGAAATAAATCGAAGCTTTGGACACCGGGTGAAAAAAGCGATGGTACCGATTCGGCGCGATCAAAGGACCCGCTACAAATTGAAACAAATCAGGCAGGTAATAATAATTAATCCGAGACGCTCATTAATAATCGAGGTTCTTTCTTTCTTTCTTTCTTTGTTTCATGTATTTGCACGTATTACCCACACACGATGATGACGACCAAGACGACGACGACGACGACGACGATGAAATGATGACGACGAATAAAGAAAGGGTTTTGAATGTGTATTAGTATACGTATAATAATATATGTACATAGTAGATTCGCCAAGTGGAATATCGCGGCCTCGAACGTTGTTGAGCTCTCAATTATGTCGGAGAATTATGAAGCAGCGTCAGTGTTTCATTCTTCTACTCTCTCTCTCTCTCTCTCTCTCTCTTTCTTTGTCTCGCGAACTCGTTGAACGAGAAAAGGGGTGAAAGGCGAGAGTGCTTCAGGGCAGCCCGATTGTGTCTTCATTAGCAGCTATTAATTGTCAAAACGTTGCCACATAATTTAGATGGGGCGCGAACGAACCCTTAGCGCCTTCGTTTAATCATTTATATCCAACCTATACCTTCTTCCTTTATATCCAACACACTCAAATAAACAAGATATATAATCTAAAAAGCAAACGCGCGAAACAAATTCTTAGTCTCGTAAGTTTCTTTGTTGCGCAAAACATTTTGTTTGAAAGAATTGAAAGCACCCTAAAACCATTCGTCGTCCTTGTTACTTACTCGGATTCCTCGTATATTTCCCTTTAACGTTCGTCAATTCTCCCTACTTTTTTTTTCTCCTATCTTTACCATCTTCTTCTCATATTTCTCTCGAAGCACCACCCTCTTTCGCCCTTCCATATTCCAGCTACGTTAACCGATAAGCACCCTTTGACCTTTTGTTTAAGTTATTACTTTTATCCGGCACAGGTCACGGGGTATAAAGGCTCGTTGAGCATCGAATCAACTCTATCAGCCCAATTAAGCAACCCGCCGAGGACTGACTCCAAGAGCCTTGCGAGTTTCAATCCGTGCCCTTTTTCCTCGACTTTGCTAGCTCGTACGTTTGTTTCCTTCCTTTCTTTCTTTCTTTCTTACTTTCTTACTTTCTTACTTTCCTCGCACATTTATCGCGTGAGATATCCAACTAAAAACGACTCTTTTTCCTTTTACATTTATTTTATTTTATATTTCTTTATTCGTTTTCTCTTTGAACACTGCTATTGTTTTTTTCAATTCACCTTCGTCCTTGCGTCGTCGAGTGAATATTATTAATCAATTATCGTAGATTCATTCCTTGATAAAAACAATAATACAAAATGTTAAACGTCATAAACATTTGTCATCAACAAATTTGAACGAACCCAAATATATGGGGTGGTTTCTTCAGAGTTATTGCAATATTTTTGTTCATATAAATATCCCACCCACATTATTCTTGATGAATTTATGAATATAATTTAGATATATGTGGAAAATACGCTTACTCTCGCACTTTTCTACAGAGTTATAGGGCCGTGTAATCGCGTCGTACCGAAACGCCCTGCGATTATGCACACTCGGATACACGGTCATCGAGTAGGGAAATCATCGTCCATCGTAGTTCTCTTTTACAATGTGTGCACAAAGCGTTCGCGTGTGTTATACTATATTCAAAGGGAGGAAGAAGGAATCCACCACGCGATCCACCGTGCTAAGAAATTTTATAGGCGGATGTCTGTGTGTTTAAATTTCTCCTTTTTTTTTTTTTTTATTACCTTTCTTTCTTTCTTTCTTTCTTTCTTTCTTTCTTTCATTCCACTTTTATGCGGGCTACTTCTTGAAAATGACGACATTTTATTAGTTTGAGAATTTCTTCTCGTTTTATTTTTAACGCTAAGATATTTGAAAAGAATAATTTGCATAGTCTTCGAGTTTGCTTTTCATTTACGATGCCCCCCTCCCTTCCTCCCTTCCTCCTCCTTCAATCTTCTTCTCTTTCTAAATTTATGTGAGAATTTTGAAAATTATAACACCGATAATTCGTGTCCCTTTTGAAATTATTTTTAAAATGCGGGCTATTTAAAAAAAAAAAAAAAAAAGAAAAATGCCACTTTGTATATTTCATCCTCCTAGGTTACAAATTCCTGTTTTTTTTTTTTTTTTCTTATCGAAGCCAAGGGACTTATTAGAAAACGTCAATCAAGTTTTACGCTCGAGTGCACAACTGCTCGTCGGCTTGAAAAATGATTCTTAAGGACTTATTATGAGCCAGCGGGTGTAGGTTGCCATTGTCGATCGGAAACGTTTTCCGTACGATGTGTGCACAAAGCTTTCAGGTGTAACGAGTCCACGATAAAAGTAATCTTGATTTCTGCTATAGAGCAAGGTGACATCGTTCAAAGATCTAAATCTCGAAATTAGTCGTCTAGTAAAAGATTAAAATCCTCCCCCACCCCATTGGGGTGATTAGCTTTTGCTTTTAAATGATTAAACTCTATGATTTCATTAAATTCTCTCCCTAATTGAAAAGACAATTTATGGATTAGGATAGATTCATTCATTTTATAATCTAATTAATTTCTATGAATTTTACCTTACTAAAGGTAATTAGAAAAATAAAAAAAAATCAGAAATAATTGTGTTACTTTTTTTTTTTTTTTTTTCTTTATATGACAACGAACATTAGCAGATCGTTTTCTAAAAGTAAACGAAGCAGTAAGGTAAGAACGTTTGATTGTGTTGGACTCGCGTTTGACGATTCTGTTTGCAGGACGTTATTAGCATTGAAAAATGTGTGCACGCTGTCGAGGGAAGAGTAAGGATACGTCGCGTTTGAGAAAGGGATGATGCTTGGGCAAACGTGACACGTACGTACGGCAAACTTGACAAGGTTGGCGTGACTGTCGAGCGAGCGAGCGAGCGAGCAAGCGAGCGAGTGAGCAAGCGAGCAAGTGTAGGGTGTGTGTAGCAGTAGACGAACCAACGGTAAATCGACAATAATAAGGGTAAAACCCTTAGATTTCTTTTTTCCTCCCTAAGCTTTCTACCTCTTGACACGTATCACTAACGGGGAAGAGCGGGGGAGGAGGAGGAGGAGGAGGAGGAGGTTTTCCCTTCTTTTTTTTTTTTTCACTCATTTCAATCGGACAGGAGTTAATCGTGATAAATATTACAATAGGTTTATTAAATGCTTACCTGATGAAAGCCAAGGTAACTTTCTATGCTGTGGGTAGCAAAGAAAACCTCCCCGTCGCAGGTTAATATCAGCAGAAAACCGTTCAGTGCCTGTAAAACACAGATACAAAGATTTCAATTTAAGAAAGTTAATGAAAATAAATAAATAGCAGAGAGAAAATAATGGAAGAAAAATAAAGTGGGATGGGTGGTGGTGGTGGTGGTGGTGGTGGTAATGGAAACGCAGAAACGAACGCCACTGTGTTTTGTGGCGTAAACGGAGTTAAAACGTTGCGGAAAGTTTTCCCATTTATCGGTAGACCCGATACCGACAAATACCAAACGAGCTTGCGAACTCGAACGTTCGCATCGAAGCCCAAAATATCCGTTCCAGTTTCTAACGGGGTATATTCGGTATAGGATTATACTAGCTGAGAAAACCATTTAACCCTCGGCCGCACCGCACCGCACCGCACCGCGCCGCACCGCACCGTCGTTTCGAGTTAAACGTGGATTGTTTTGTTTTATTTCGTCGGGTTCCTGGCCCGTACCAGGCACGCCAGAGTTAGACCTTATTGTTCTGAAATATGGTGAGCGTTCGATATCCTTCTTCCATACCGAATACTATTTTATAAGAGAAAAGAAGAAGAAGAAGAAGAAAAAAAATGTAAAGGAGAAAAAATGGAATGGGGAGAACGAACGAATTCCATCGTATTTTCGTAGCATGCAAATCTTACGCGAATTCTTTACAGACTGGCAACATAGTTCATCGAATCTCAACCTTTCAATAATAATTTCCTAGTATATCTAGAAAAAAAAAATAAAAAAGAAGAAAAAAAAATAAATGCATTCTGCATATATACAATTTTGATCGTATAATATTTGTTATTATCTTTTTATCGAGAGCCATTTGGAAGTAATATAAAAATAGGCAGAGAGAAGGGCATATTGAATAGAAAATGGTACCCACCGGAGCGATCGCATGCGCGGATGCTGCGTTTTGATTGGCTTATTCGGAGGGTGGGCTTTCTGCGTAGCAGCGTCAATAGCGATGTGCGGCTAGTAGGGTGAGCTTCGAGTTTCGAGCATCGCTTGCTATAGTAGAGGATAGTACCTCTCTAATAGGATTTTCTCGGTAATGTTCTCCCCTCTTATTATATAGCTTAACCTTAACGTATCACAGAAATGGCCGACATGGCCATTTCGTATAGCAGGCGCATCGTCGTCTCACGGGAACCTTTCTTCCATGGATGGAAGTATAATTACGAGTTCATCCAATTACCAATCGATCTGTTGGATTTGACTCGGGATTTAACATTTTCATCTATACATATCAATTTCAAATGAATCTATATATATCATTCGTAGGATAACGCCTATTTACCGTTAACAAATAAATATTTAAAGAGAGCCAAGTATATAACCGTAAAGACAGTTAAAGTCGTTCGTAAGAAGAAACGGAATGGGGATAGTCGCGGAAGTATAAGCGTCTGTTTAAAGAAAACAAAGATTGGTATTTATCGCGTGAGCTCGGTGGAGAATCAGTCGCGTGCCACTCGCGAGTACTTGGCGTGTTCCGCCCAAGCGTGAACTCCTAATACCCCTTCATCCTCACCTTGACTCTCTCTCTCTCTCTCTCTCTCTTTCTCTCTCTCGTATTAGCTGCTCGCCGATAATACTTCACGCACGAAATCTTTCTTTACGTTTTCTTCGTGCTCGTGCGAGCGCGACTAGTACCAACTATACCTACATTTGCAAAGATACGAATAATAAACTTCAAAGATAAACAGACCGAAGGAATATCGATTCGCATTAAATTCATAGTTGACTAGCTCGAGTGTCTTTATTTATCCCTTGAAACTTTCTTATCGCATGACCCTGACCTTTCGATTAACCAACCAATTGCTACGTCATTTTTGCAAAGTGTTGCAAATGTTGTTGTTGTTGTTGTTGCAACATTAGGTTGACAAATAGGAAAAAAAAAAGTAGAGTAAGTAGCAGCGAGCGGGTGTCGATGCGAAAGGGGTGTATGTATCGAAGTAAGATATTCCGCAGGAAGGAGTTGGCCTAAGAGAGGGTCGGTGTGGTATCTAAGGGAGGAAAGGAGCACGCGATCAATACGCGGGAAGGACTAGCGGTGCCAGACCAAGGCGAGCCCCGTCGACCGGCAACAACCTAACCTCCCTCATATCATCCCATCCCATGCACCCACCCAACCTAAGCTTACCTTTGACTCACTCACTGACTCACTGCCAATTGACTTCTCTCTTTGTTTCTACGTTCGCTTCTGTTGCTCTTTAGATTTCGCTCTATTTCGCCTTAGAATCATAGAACAATTTAAACGCTTTAAATTGAGTTTTGTTTAAACCAATTGTCTAGGAGACACTTCCTCCTTCCTTTAGTCCGGAGGCAGTGAAAGTATCGAAAGGTCTTTTAAAAATCTTTACCACCGTACGAACTTGTCTCTCCCTCGACGACCCCTCACTCACTCACTCACTCACTTCTGCCTTTTAACTCTCCCCTCCTATCGATTTCAGAAACTTTCAATAGATTTAATGACTCGGAACGACTCGTTCGACCTCGGCTTCGTTCTACGATTAACGTACCAAGGGAATTATTTCCACAGGATTTTTCTACTATTTCTTTTACCTTCTATGACTCTATACTATCCATTAAATTGGTTCACAAATAATTGTACCTTTTTTTTTTTTTTTTAAATGTCCAGTTCTTCTGCAATCTCTCTCCAATCGTTTTCTTTTAATCCAATTAACAATTCTATAATGATTATTATTATTAAATTATTCTAATTGTATCTGTGAAAAAAAAAATATATAAACTGCAATTTATTATGCAGTTAAATTACGCGTATGTAGATTTGAAACATAATCGAATTAGAGAACGCAACGATTAGACTTAGAGAAAAGTTTCCAACAGGGTTTAGCTATGTGGGGGTAGGAGGAATAGAGGGGTGTGGGAGAAGATGTTTCCCGTTTGTTCTCTTCACCCCTTCTAAGTCTTCTCGAAAACGAACTTACCTATCTTTCCTCACATAGGGAGCAATCAGGGCAGAGAGTAGACATGCAACCATCAGCAACAAGTAAGAGCCTTATAGCGTGGTGATCGAGTTGGCCGTCCGTTCGTTCGTCCGTCCGTCCGTCCGTCCGTCCGTCCGTCCGTCAGTCAGTCCGTTCGTTCGTTCGTTTCTTGGCTCCTTACTTCCCCCGTCTTACAAGCTCTACACCAAATTCACTTAGGTCGGTGTTAGAGATCGCTTATGCGACCTAAACGCGAATCTAAATTGCCTAGCTCACGTAGGCGCACACAAAACTTAGCAGAAAACCTTCTCGTCATCGTTAGTAGTTCATTTAGTTCACGCAACTAATTCTAATTTTCTTTATTATCCTATTTATTATTACTTGTATATCAAATACATTTTGATGAATTGATGATAAATTGGATGTTTTTTTTGTTTTTTTTTTGGGGGGGGGGGATTGGGATCTTTTTCTTTTTCCAAGAGAACAAAAACAGATTTATCGACTTTGAATAATCTTGAAAAAGAGATATTCGTGTGCGTCTATTACTGAAGCCAGCAATCGAAAAATTCGTTGAGACGTTGTTGGTAGGTAGCACCGCCGTGTTGTAGATGTGCCGGGGAGAAAAATAGCTCGGTTGTGATTACGGGTTACCGGTTGCGGGGGTCATTCCTGACCACGACCCTCTTTTACCGCTACCAACCTGCACACTGCTGGCTCCTGTGTATTAATGCGATACACGATAGCCTGCTGGCTATTAAATAAAAAATATGAGACCAAAATGGCTGCTCTCGCGGCGATATACGTCACTGAGAGGCGTGATTCCTACCGAAGTTGAAAAAGGGAAGGGGGAAAAAAGACAGACAGACAGACACACTTATACAAAGAGAGAGAGAGAGAGAGAGAGAGAAAGAACGCGTGAGAGAGAACAGACGATTTTACGCGCGGTGAAGGTCTATTTGAATATTTTTTTTTTCTTCTTCTTCGACACATTAATATTTCATCGAATGATCGATTGGGATGCATTTTTCAAATATGAAATTAACGCTCATCCGACAATGCGTTCTCTCTCTCTCTCTCTCTCTCTCGCGAAAAGTATTCAAATGGCGTATTTTCAGGGGGGTG